GTACGAACAAAAGTAAGAGAAATTTAGGATAAGAATACGAACATGTTCTTGCATGAGGCCCATTGTTCTGTGTATCATCATCAGCTTTAGACAGTTAAGTAATGGCAACTTTTGGGGTAAGAAACACTCTGATTATAAAAAAAAAAGTCAATGGCTGTGCTTAATTCTTGAACGGCTGTATGAATCACGGTGTTTCTTGGACTTCTTTTTCTTATTCTTCATCTTCTTCTTCTCCTCCTCTTCCTCTGAAGATGATAAGGAGCTGAAGTCTGTGGATGAAGCGGAGGGGGTTGGAGATGTTGAAGATGAAGGAAGAACCTGAGCAGTCTTTCTAGAGCCTGGGGGTAGTGGAGGAGAGATGTCTATAAGTAAAGGTTTAGGAGAAGATGGTCAAATTTCTGAAAGTAAAGCAGAGCACCATTGGAAGCACAAGCTATTGGAAATAATGTGTTTCAGGGTGCAGAGGTGGAGCTGCCGCATTCTATGTTAAAGCCACTTAAATGTATTGACACTTAAAATCTGAAGTATAATTAAAATTACATGTGTGCCATATTGGTTTGCAACAAACTTCACCTCTGCAGCCCTGAAACCACTGTTTCTTATGGTGCCCCAATGATGGCTTTTTGGTGCATTGAGTAAAATTATAGCATTTCAGTAAGCATGAGCATCTCAATCAGCACTTAAAAAACAAGTTTTTTTTTCATTAATTGCATCAGCACCGTACCTAACTTGCTAGTAGATGCAGGGGACATAGTGGCTTCCTTAATTTGGGTTAGGAGGAATTCTTTGTCGTTTTTCAGCTCCCTGTTGGCCTCCTCCAGGTATTTAATACGGTCCTCAAGGTATTCTATCTTCTGTTTATCCATCTTTGTTTGTATCAGATTTACGGGTGGAGGTCAACGTGAGCAGTACCAGAGACAAACAGAGACGGAGACGAGATATACAAAAGGTAAGTGATTTTATTTTTACAGGTGCGGGAGGGGTCTGGGATCTGGACCTGGAACAGAACAATTGCAGAGGTGAGTATTTGATAATTTCCCAGTAATGGTCTTAAGCTGGTAAGTAAAACAGTGGAGTTCTTACGGGATGGGGAAGGAGATGAGGCGTGGAGGAGTTGGTCCAAAAAGGTGAGGATCTCGAGGTGAGTATTTACAGGTGAGTTGATATTTACAATGATACATGGGAGGCAGCGCATGAGAAAACTGGTGAGAGGCTCAGAGTCCAAGGCGGCAGGCAAAAACGTGCTGGATACTGTTTTCTGCAAACAGGTAAATACAAAAACACAGGTAATACAAAAACCCTTGGAAAGAGTAACAAGCAGCAGGCTGAGCTCATACTAAACATGAGGCAATGCTTCAACGATGAGTTGATCTTCAGCACTGCCTTAAGAAGCCTGGAGGTAATGAGCCAAATTGTATGCAGGTGTGGGTGATCTGCGCTGCCACCAATCATGCAGGTGGGGGGTGGAAACACCAAAATGCCTTAGTACCCCCTCCTCAACAATCGCCTCCTGGCGATTCAAGGTTTCTTCTCAGGATGCTCCCTGTAGAAGGTGGTTATAAGGTCGGGATCCAAGATGAACGACCTTGGTATCCAGAACCTCTTCTCCGGACCATAACCTTCCCAATCAACGAGGAACTGGTGTCCGCGTCCATGACAGCGAACATCCAGAATGCGATGTACCGTGTAGATAGGTTGATTGTCCAAGAGACGGGTGGGTGGTGGGGTGTCGGCTGGTGGGTTCAGGGGNCGAGAAAATATTAATAGGTTTCCATTCATATTATAGTACAAAAGAACTGCATTTTAAAAATAAAGATATTTTGATAAATTACTTGCTCTTTAGCAGTAGTCGTGGTCTGCTGGTACTTCCTCCAGGGCAGACACCTCAGCAGACAGTTGGTCCCGCCAGCGAGCACTGCTGACTGCCTCCAAGCCAGCCTCCCCCTCATCCTCCACTCCATTTTCCTCAGGTTCATCCTCCGGGGCCACGATGGCACCAGCACTGAGGCAGATGTTGTGGAGAATGGCGCAAACAGTGATAACCTACAATAGAGGGAAAAAAACAATTGGTATATAAG